TTGCAAGAATGAAAGAAAATCAAAAAGAAATTTATTTCATTACAGGAGAAAGTAAGAAAGCAGTTGAAACATCACCATTTGTAGAAGGATTTGTTAAGAAAGGAATTGAAGTACTTTATATGACAGATCCAATTGATGAGTATGCTATGCAACAACTTAAAGAATTTGATGGAAAGAAACTTGTTTGTATTACTAAGGATGGAATTAAAGTAGAAGAAACTGAAGAAGAAAAGAAAGAACAAGAAGCTAAAGAAAAAGATAATGAAGAATTAAGTAAAGTAGTTAAAGAAATCCTTGGAGATAAGATCGAAAAAGTAGTAATTTCTAATAGATTAGTTAACTCACCATGTGCTCTTGTTACTGGAGAATATGGATGGAGTGCTAATATGGAAAGAATTATGAAAGCACAAGCATTAAGAGATAATTCTATGAGTACTTATATGGTTTCTAAGAAAACACTTGAAATTAATCCAGATCATCCAATCGTTCAAGAATTAAGAAAGAGAGTTCACACTGATAACAGTGATAAAACTGTTAAGGACCTTGTTGTATTATTATTTGAAACAGCATTATTATCATCAGGATTTTCATTAGATGAACCAGCTGCATTTGCTGGTAGAATTTATAGAATGGTTAAACTTGGATTGTCCCTTGATGATAAAGAAGAAGAACCAGCAACCGAACCAGTTCCAGCTGTTGAAGAAACACCAATTGAAGATTCAAAGATGGAGGAAGTTGATTAAAGAAAAGGTGATTGAATAATTCAAAAAGTTTTAGAAAAGTTTTTAATGTTTTATTTTTAGTGTGAAGTTTAATTAAATATATTAAATTGATTTGTATAGAATGGAATTTTGGTAATTGATTAAAAATAACAACACAAGTATTATCAAAATTAATTAAAATAAAAGGTGTTAACAAAAAATTAAAATTATTGTTATTAAAAATAATATAATAATTGTTAAATAAATACAAATTAGTAAACATTAAAAACCAAGTTAATAGAAACAAAGAATTATGTTACTACTAATAGTTTCTTTAAGGTAAATATAATGAAGTAAAAGTATGCTAGTAAAATGTTTGAAATATTCGACCCATCAACAATGAGTTGATGGGAGATACTATTTCAATTTTCTTGCATCCATTACTAACTTTTTATATTGAAAGCAATTAAAAAGTAACGATGATAAGATGCGGGACAAAATTGATGAGATAAACGAGGTTTAAATATCCTAAGGGTTATTATAAAATACTAATAAAAATTAATAAAAAACTATATTTTAATAGAATAAAAAAACTAAAATAAAAAATTAAAGTAAAAAAAGATATTAAGTTCAATGAGTAATATCTTTGATCCTGATTATGAATGGACTAAAAAAACTGTTTGTCATGCAATTTTTACTATCAAATCTCTTATTTCTCCAATAGTTGGAATTATTTGTGGGATAATTGGAGTTCAAGGGTGGTTAGGATTTGCTATTTGTTTTGGATGTGTTATATTAATATCATATTTCTTTGTTGTTTATTATTCATTAGATGAACTTGATCCAGAAGTAACAATTGGTGATGCAATAAATGAAGGGCTTGGAGTTTCTTTAGCAGAATTCTTACTATTTTGGATAATTTTCTTTACTATGTTCCATTCTCAATGAGTGATTTAATTACAACCAATAAAAAGGAGGTAACAAATATTCAAAACAATTACAATTAATTGAGTGATGTTGATTTTGCAACATATTTACCAATATTGAATGTTCTCATTTTTGTTTCATGTTGATTTGGTCTATGTCTTGTGAAATAAACTGATTGTCTTTTGTTGAAGAAGATGTCATGATAGATTGGAGGGATAATCACATCATTAACTCTTCTTTTAAAACAATCACCTATATCCTATTTGTTATTCTTTATTCATTATTTTATTCATATTTAATTATATTTTATGAAATAACAAACAGTAAATATAACTTCTTTATTTTTAACCATTAGTTCGAATGTTTTGATAATATTTCCTGTTTGTTGCCCAATGGTTTGAATATCATTTTTACTTATAAGTGTTGATAAACCAAGGCATACTGCAATATTATAATTATCCATTTTTGATTCAGGACAATTTGTTATTCTTCCACAAAGTGCTAATAAATGTTTTAGAATACTTGCATTTGCCTTTGGTAATTGACATGTTAATTCACGTGTTTTATCAACCCAAACTTCTTCATTAGTACTGTTATTCATAGTAATACTTAACATTGGTTGAAGTAATGATTGAGGCCAAATAGGAGTACTTAAATCTCTTAAAAATTTTCTTATTACTCCTGAAAGATTTACCACATCAGTTGCTTGTACATCAATAACACCAATTAATTTAGCATAACTTTCTAATGACCTTGAGTCAGGGCATTGTCGAAATACTCCTTCAAGAGATCTTGGTGTAAAATAGATTCCATACATAGCTTTGAGAATAGGAAGAGGAACTTCTTCGTTTTCATTTTTTATGATTTCATCTATTTGTTGTGAATAATTAGTATTAAGTAGTTTCTTTCTTTCGTTAATAACTGACAAAACAGCAGTTTCTAATTCATTAGAGTCTTCTTCCTCCATAATTTTATTAAATTTAATCATTTGATGTGAGATAGGACTCAGGTTATTAATATATGAAGAGAGTGATTGAAATAATGAAATATTAGATATCATATTATTTTGTTGCATTGCAATATCAGGAACAGATGATATATTTTCGTCCCATGAATTTTTATTTTTTAATGAGACAGATAACTTGTCTAAAGAAGTTTCCTAAATAAAATAAGTTTTTGTTAACACTTTTTAAACTTGTTTAATAAAAGTTAACAAACGTAGATTTTAAAAACATCTATTAACACTTCATTTGTATGTGAAATTATTAAGAGTTCATGATAAATAGAAGTTAATGAAGAAGCTTTGGGGACACGAATTCTTAAATTTTCTATTTTTGTATGAAAACTTTGAATTAATGGAATTAGCGTTTTAAATGTTTGTGTTATTTGATTAGCGTTTATTGATAGTTGTTCCATTGCTTGATATTTGTTTGATCCATACCGTTCAAGACATAATTTATGTGCAGGAAGTGACCAGTCGTTCATTTAATATTCTATTAGTAGTTTTTTAAAATTTAAGTTCATAAAAATACGTTTTAAATAACAAAACATTTTATTTTATTTTTTGTATTTATATGAAAAATAGTGATTTGTGATGATTCTCTTCATCTAGTCTTTAAAAATTGAAGTTAATGGAAGAAGATATATCAACACTTAAAAATCAAATAAAATACCTTAGACAAAAAGTTCATAGGCTTGAAAGAAAAAAGGATTATAAAAAAGAATATGAAGAAATGAAAAGTAAGTATCAAATAGTTAAAGACTTAAGAATAAAATTAGCGATATCACTTTCAAAGGAAAGAGTAAAAAATGAACAGTATGAAGTAATGATAGACTATGAATCAATTATTAATCAACTCATTGCTCATTGAATTTATTTTATTTATGTGTATATATTTTTATTAACGAAATATATCTTATATGAAAATTATTTGAATTAAGTTGATATGATTTCATTGAGAGCATCTTTTCTTTCGAGGCTCATATTTTGAATACACTGTTTTGTTAAACTATCATATTTTCCTGAAACAACTGTTAGTACTTGTTTCATTCTAATAAGACTTTCTTTTGTATGAGAACAATATAAGAAGTTATCAGCAAGAATAATAAGAAGATTAGGAATGTGGTTTTGTTCTAAATTAATTAAACCATTAATATACATTAAACATAACTCATTACAGAGTTTTTCATTCTTCTTTTTAATAGGTAAATATTTTAACCATTCATTGGCTTGTTCAGGAAGTTTAAGGTCTAAAATAATTCTTCCTAACTTCCTAACTGCTTTAGATTGGACATATTCATTTGTTTCTTCTTTTACCATTTTCCATAAACTATTTAATGTTTCTTCAGAATTCTCAAATCCACGTTCAAAAGAAGCAACTAATACACTTATTGCTGCATCTCTTACAGCTATACAAGAATCATTTAACCATCTAACAATTCCTGGTGTTTTTAATCCACCATCTCTAATAGCAATTTTTAATACTCTCATCGCAACAACACGTGAAGAAGAAGACCCTTTTAACTTCTCCAAAATAATTGGATGAATATGACTTGTGTATGCACTATTCATTGAACCTAAAACAATTGATGTTGATAAAGCAGATAATAATGTTTCTGTCACTTTGCCAACTTCTCTAAATTGTTCTAAATGTTTTAAAGCAGCTGCAATATTTGACATAACAATATTACTATCTAATGGAATATCATGAGATATAATTCTTTCTAGAGTCCCTATTCCAGCAGAACATAGTCCAGCATCAAATGAATGACACCCTGAATCTAATACAGCAACAAGTCTTTGTAAAGTAAGTTCTATTTCTGGACTTCTTTGGTCTTGATATAATATAATGAATAATGAACCAGCAGCATTAATAGCAATAGAGGCAATACTAATATTAACTGATCTTGATTCTGTTACAATAATTTCAATAACTTGATTCATTACTGGAAGTAGCAATTTATGTGCTTCAGAAATTAATACAGATAAACATCCCATTGCACTTTTCTTCTCTTCAGATAATCCACTTGCATTTTTAATTGGAATTTGTATTTTACATCGTTGAAGTAAAAAAGGAAGAAATTTAGTAATAAATGGATAGAAATACTCCTTTAACAATGGAAGCATTCTTATAATAATTGTTTCTATATACCCAAGTAAGGGGTCATCCACTTTTATATTTGGTAAAGCAAGACATACATATAATTGCTCTGTTAATTTTTGGGCAAATAAAGTTAATTCTGAATTATTAAGATAGAACCCAATAATACTAATTGATTCAATAATTCTTCCACGAAGTTCAAAATATTCATAATTTGTTGGTATTTTATTTAATAATTGGAAATAACCATTTAAAAATGAGGATGCATAACGTGTAAACAATTTTTGAACTCTAGTAACAAGAAAGGATATTGCGCAAATTGCAGATGAAAGGACATGTAATTCACTTGATTGTAATAATGGTTGTAACATTGAAATGATTGACTCCATCTTTTCTTTCATTAGAGCTGTTGATGCAGAGTCAATAAAAAAAGATAAGAAATCACAAGTTCTTGCTTGAATTTTTGGAATAGGAGAATTAATATTTGTTGTTATTAACTGACATACAACAGGTTCAAAAGTACTTCTAAGTGATGGGTATGATTTAAGAACTCTATTAGCAAATACTAACACTTCATAAGTAACTCTTGGATGAAGAGAAATAATAGATAAAAATGATTGATATATTTGAGGGATAGATGCATATAATGAAGTATCTGCTGACACAATTTGTGAGACCATAAAAATAAATGATCTAGCTTGTTGCCATGTTGGGTTTGAAGGTGTTAAACTTAATACTTCTTTTGTTGGTTTATAAAAACTAAATCTAAACATAAACTCTTCTGCAGCAGAACATAAACTATCTTCTTCTTCTTTAAATTGATACCATTCAGTATTATCTTGAATTGTACAAAGCCATTGATATAAACACTGTATTGTAGGTAATAAAGCATCACCCAATGTTCCATAAGTTTCACATAAAACAGCAAGACATTCCATTGAAGGAATAGCATCACCTCCTAATAACTTTACACCTAGTAAAGCAAATGTACATGTTTGTTTTAAATAATTATTAAATAAAGCTGATGTTTCATTCATTTCACTTATAATTTCTATACAACTTTGTGCATTTAATCTATCTGTTTCCAATACACGAATTGCAGCTTCTAAAAATTGAGGATAATGTGATACTACTTCGTCAGTAAACTCTTTTCCTTCTTCTTCACAAACTTCAATGATTGATTTGTATAATTGTAATGAAGAAACAACAACAATACCAACGTCATTTAATAATTTTATTGCAGAGTTAATAGACTCACGAATGAAATCAACACTTGGTTCTGAAAATATAATTAATAACGCAACTGTAGATAATGCTATTGACCGATGTTGTGGTGATGGAAATGTAAACATTGACTTTAGTGCAGGGAGGAGTTCTGGAAATGAAGGAGAAACAGTAAATGTATCATAAAGTAATGACGAATAAGCACGAAGAAGTGCTGGAGGAGAATCACTTTGAAGGAGATGAATTAAAAATAATTTGAATTGTTGTTTTTGTTCATCAGTTAAATAATGATATAATGAGGGTTGTGCTTTGTAAAAATTACGAGATAATAGGTTTGCAGATAATAAACGTATATTAGGATCATTAGAATTAAGTGCTTGAATGTGAATAGATATTAATGTATTTGGTTGAGAAAATAATGAGTTATACAATTTTTCTGCAGTTGAACGTATTTCGTTATTTGAAGATAATAAGTTTTGAAAGAGAAGTTCAACATCCATTTGACTTTGCATGAAAATAGTGATTTGGAGTTGAACTAAAAGTTATAATAAAAAATAGTTATAAATAATAATAACAAAATTATTACATTCATTAACTCAAAGAACTAACAATTTATTTATTTTGTCAATTAATGAATCGGTTTATCTTACAAAATAACACATTTGAAGTGAGTATAGAGAAATACAAAATTTCTCC